GAATATAATACATAATTGTAGTACGATAAATTTTCATGTACCTACAGTTCTCGAAATAATGTATATGGTAAAACAACGTTTGCCGAGTCAGCTAGTATTAGTATAAAATTTTCCAATTTTTTACGATAATGCATAAATAAACGAATCTTTATTAGTATTCCTATGTTCAAGTATTTTTTACAACGTTTTTTTTTCTTTTTAAAGTGTTTTATTTCAGTTACTTTAAATTACATTACACCGTCGTTAAAGTCTCAATAATCAGAATTAACGTCTTGAATAAGTATATAAAAAAAGAAACACAAATATCAAACAATAAATTTTGTTAACGCCACGCATTATTATTCACAGATGAAGTGGTTTTTTGTCCAACTAATGTCGTATCTGCCCCACTGTGCATCACACAGTAGTCTTATAACATTTTTTTATTCTGTTTTTGTCTTTTATTATTTCATTATTGTATGGAAGCTTCACGGCAGTCATCAAAATATCGTTAGCAGGGTTCAGTACAATGTGTATATTGGCAATTTTTTTCTCGTAACTCAAAAATCGACTTTTGTAGTCGCCTATATCATTTTTATTGTTATTTGATGTATCAATGTGGTATTGTGAGAGTGTGATATATTTTTTCTCTTTTTTATTTTGCGATGTGAAACTTTGGAGACTACGGAATGATCTCCTATGCAAAAAAATCTGTTTGATATTGACAGCAAAATTAAGAACTTTAAGTTACGGCATTAAAATAGATTTTCGTTTGCTTTGAAGGTAGTGACAGTTAACACTTGGTAAAATTTGTCATTTATTATTATAGAGTCTGAATGGTTTAATTTATATGAATTTTTTATAAGCTAGGTTTAGGTAGATATAGATAAAAATGGTATTCTAAATTGAACTGTATTAGAATCGAATCTGTGATCTAATTCATTAATTACCAAATATCTAGCATCGTTGCTACTATTCTATATAATTGTTTTTTTTTTTGTGAAAATTTTATTTATTAATTATTCTCATTTCTTTGTCTTTACATCGTTATTTGTAATCGGTTCAGTATACAGAAATCCATGTTATAAATTATTAAAGGAACTAAAAACCACTAATACCATATTAAATTATTCATTAAATAAACATTAATTAACTCGTTATTTATAGAACATAAATATTTAACACCTAAATCGTAACATTGCTTTTATCAATCGTAAGCGTTTTACAATCTATAGCTCGTGTATATAAAACTGTATCAAATTAACTGATACTAATCACACCTTTGGAACGTTTCGTTATTAAAAAAAAAAATAATAACACTATACAAGCATGTAGTTTAGAATGCACTCGCTAATCGGTTCGTATCGGTTTGAAATAACACTTTCCCAACCGGCGCTCGTGTGTGACCAGGCGAAAATTGGTGCGTGATTTGGTGGAAACTTTGCGAATCTGATAAAAGCGATATCGGTTGACGTGAGCAGCGACGCGTTTCTATCATGCCCGTAATATTTTTTTTGTGTCCACGATTCACCGCGAACGGCCCATTGGGATTTTATGTTAACGCTAGTTATTGCAAGACTTCGTCCTTTTAACTAATTTTAAAAGGAGGAGATTATCAGACTGTTTGTGTGTATAACATATGCACCAGACTTTTGTACGCTGTTAGTTCATATATGCAATGAATGTGTAGTTTATAGAAATAAATATAATTTTAATCAAACTTCTAGTTTTTTTTTTTTTACATTTATTAGAGTATAAACAAAATATTTATACGAATTTAAAAGGATTTATACGTAATAAATATAATAAAAATAGATTTTTCTCGCACAGTCGTTTATTTGATAAATAGTGGAACTTTACAATTTCTTTTACTTTTTTGTGGAGAAAGTATATATGCTGTCACAAACATTCATAGGCAATTAATTTTATATGACAACATATCATAAATATCCAGATAAGTTTACCATATATATTTTATCTACACTAATATTCGTCGTGTGGTCCCGACATAGTGTGGGCCCCCTGCCTTTCCCGTGGGTGTCGTAAGAGGTGACTATAAAAAATAAATATATAATAATATAAATATAAAAATAACTTTAATAAATTACTTCAAGATAAAATTATTTTTACCTATTATTCGATCCTTAAATGCATGTATTTTCTGTTACAATATTATTCTCACGAAATAATTTAAATAATTAGATTAATTTAATAAAGAAATTTCATTTTAATGATGTCATTAAAACCCCCTTCGTATGATATTCCCAGACTATTTATGCAAAAATATGACAATATTGAATTGTATCAATTCTTAAGACATATAGGAAATAATTAATCAAATATAACTTATATTTCTTAGTATAATTTCGTAATTTTTTATAATCTATCATTTTTAAAATATTCTATTTGATTTCTTTTCAAAACCACCAAAACGTATTATAAATCGAATAAGAGTCAAAATAAATTAACTAAATAGTTTAGAATATTCAAACAAAAATACACCTTATGGCAGTGATTGAAAATTCAAATTGTGTTCAAATGTAATAGGGTTGTCATTTGCATAGTTTTGCGACGCCATGAGCGTCGAAAACTTCTTTGAGCGAACACTTTAAAGTTTGCAGGGGTGACAATTTTTCAAGACTCCTAAGAATGTTTAATTCATTTTGAATTTTAAAGTAAAGGATTAGGGGTTATAATAAATGCGTTTTTACATATTTTTTTTTCTGAAGAGTTTAACGGTAATGATGCGTTCAGAATCGCTAAACAGGTTTTGTCTATTTAGTAAACGATGCGCGATTTCTTGTCTTTAATTTTGTTGAAGATTATCTGTATGTATTCAGCCCATATGTAAATCAGTGTGTGAGAAAAAATGTTACTCACGTATTTTTTTTATTCTTGGGAACATTTTATGGTTAGAAAAAAAACTGATTTAATTTACAATTAGAAAAAAATATTTTTCTAGGGTTATGCACACTTGAATAAAAATATTTTTTGTGCTTTAGAATGCCGAGAAAAAATCTTTTTTTATTCATATTTAGAAAAAAGCGACGATTTTTGGGAATTTATAAATTTATGCTTGGAAAAAAATTAATTAGTTTCATTTTGAAGATAAAATAATGAATATATGACTATTCAAAAATGTTTCAATGTAAATTTACTTGGACAAAAATATTTCTTTCTTTCTTTCTAACGCTATTCAATAAAATCAATTTAAGAAACCAGTTAAGGGTAAGGTATATTTTAAATTAGCTGATCAAGAATCCATTTTAACGACATTTCTTTTACCAAAATGCTTTACTGAGAAGTCTTGCATAAATAATTACTTAAAACTTGATCTGTACAAAAAAGTTTTCCGTTAATTTAAAAATCATACTACTTGATAATCAATGATTAACTTGATGTTTAATCAATTCTTGGAAATGACTATACGTACGGTAATACCTCTCGTTTAATTTTGATAACAATGTTTTTTTTTTATTTATTGAAAATTAAGAGAATAAAATTAAAAATATATGCTGTTATATATGTGTATATAAATACATAATGTACCTTTAAATATAATGAAACTGTAACTGATCTATATTTATTTATTTATTTATTTATAGGATTACCTACATAAGATACAGCGAAATATTTTAATACAATACACTGGTAGATTAGATCTAACTGTTCTTACATTTATAGGCGACCACAGCATGCCTTGTGTTTGATAAACATTAAAATATAATTAAATGATTAAATGTCATTATATGAGTAAAAATATTAACAATATGAATAATAATATAATATAAATAATGGAAATTGTATTTAAATTATTATAAATTACAAACAAATATAATGTAATGGGGATATATCTGTCAATTAATCACAATAAATTCATTACATATTTTGATGAAATTTGGTATGGTGATAAGTTAGTTCATCTGGATTTGATGAACAGTTTGGGTTAGTTTACATTGAAGTAATGCCTCCAAATTAATTGTAAAAGTGAATTTACTAGTAAAAGAGCTATTTTAATTTAAATTAAAAAAGAAACCTTCCGCAGTCTGACCATAAATATTGTTGGTTCATTCTAAAAAAAAAAAAAAAACTGTATAGATCTCAATCGCTCTCATTATACCGAATTAAAAAAAATGTTTTCTCGTGTAAAACACTGCACTAATTACAGGACGTAACATTTGCATATTTCCATCAAAGGTGAGGGTAACAGTTAAAATTATAACAGTTATAACTGTTATAAGCAATTAAACGCAGGCCCGCTAACAAAAAACGGTTGCAATTTTCAAGTGATAATGGCGTGAGAGACTTTTCATTAGGATAGGAAGTATCTCTTTGATAAAAATCACAATTGTGAAAATCAGTATAGTTATTATATATATATTTTTTATACAACTTAGAATGGCAAACAAGCTGACGGCCCACCTGATGGAAAGTGGTAACCGTCGCCTATAGACATGAACAGTACCATGGGCATAACAGAGTAAACTGTTTCGCCTATGATACCCCCATGCGTTGCCATTCCTGAGGACTCAGGTGTTACTCATCTGTATCCTGTAAATTCACTACCATATCTCACGCTTCAAACCGAAACACGAATGGAACAGAGGTACCCAAGCAAACGACTTATGTACAAAGTCTCCCTCTTGAAATATGACTTTTAACTAGCACATAACTTGTTTATGTAAGTTTTTTAAGGGTGATAATGGAAAGAAAACTGGGACCACCTTTTCTTACTAGTGGGTGTGGTAAAAGGCGAAGGAAACTTAATGATCGAGGAATGAGCAGCAGCGTATCTCTTAAAACATCACCACAACTTAACTTTGATTATCAACCAGTTTGCCAAACTTGGCAACTACTGACAAAACACTCCTTATGGAGAAGGCCTAGTATAAGTATTTAACGGCTGATACAATAATAAAATATAAAAAATAGAACGATAATTCCATCTGAGCTATCGATGCACATATATATTTACATTTATGTATGTATATGTGTTAACAGAAATTAAATTATATACTTACATCGACACCACCGTTGTTCCATGGGGGCAGCGCGTAATGGGAGGGGTCATGGTGCCCCCCTCCCATGTGCTCTGCCATAACCGACATCCAATGCACCAGGCCCTGGGCCCCACCACCACCTGAGGTGCCTGATAGACAGAAATTCTAATTAGAATGCAGCTTCATACAAGATTCTAAACTTAATAAGACTTTCAGACTTTTTGGTTGTCCTGTCCCAATTTTTTTCGTCTTAAGCTTGCTTATGACTTCAAAATCCATGATTGTTTACCTCACCGATTCTAACTGCATTATCTTGTTTATAATTCCAATTAGAATAGTAAATATTTTCTAATAGTAAAAACCAATGACTGACCTGAGGCCTTAACTCATTTAATATAGTTGGAAAAATCTCATTTACAAATGAAAAAAAAAATTAAGTACCCGCTTTGAAATGTTATGTTTTCCTATTTATTCCTATCGTTTAGTAAGAATACATAGATATTTTCATTCCATCACGTCTCATTTTTTTCCTGAGAATGTGCCAAATTATGCTAAAAATTGAAAGAATCAAACATAATTTAAAGAAATCTAATAAAATATACCAGATTTTTTTTCATAATTTAGGTATAAAAAATACAAGAAAAATCAAATTCATACAATTTAAACCTAGAATACCTTGTGTTACGTAAAGAATGTTCAATTCACTCATTAATGTTTCTATATCGTTACAAGAACATATTTTATCAAAATTTGAATAAATAGAAGCTATTTCTTCATTATGTTTCCGTTGGACAGATATTTTTGTCTTAGGAGCCAATAACTTCCACACTTAATCTAGATCCTAATAATTTAGCTTGTCGAATTGATAAATCTAAGTCTTGTATCAAATCATTCAATTCATTTTGATTTATCACATGTTGACAGCCAAGAGAACTTGTAGAAGCTAAAAACTCAGGATCTTTGCTGCTTTCGTCATTATATTCTACAACATTTGGCGAATCTGGCTCTTCCGAAATCTTAATTTCATTTCTGGTAGGAAGTAAAGAAGGAGGCATTTCTTCACTGTGAGGTATTGACTTCGACATTGAAGGAACGTCAGGATACTAAATGTTGTGCTTGATTTTCTTTGTAAAGCCACGTATGTCAGTCATGCAAAAATACCAATCATTAAAATGATTACTAGGTTCACGCCATAAAGCCGGTGCGGCAAATGGCATTGTCGTCTTGTTTCCATTAAACCAAGATATGAGAGTAACATAGCACGAAACACAAAAAAACTGTAGTATTTATGGTTTGTCTTGATTAATAGTACGTCCAAAATAAAGTAAATATGCACTTCTCACTTTTTCAGAAACATTTTTTGTTTGTGATTTCACAATGTACTGTTCACAAACGTAACAAAACTTATTTGGTGCATTTTTGCAGTTGCGACGGCCACTTAGTTCAGTAGTCATGTTGGATTTTCAAATAAATATGTTCAAAGATATCGAGGTTATCAAATAGAAACAATTTATAAATAAAACAAAACAATAAAAAAGTATAATAACATCGAAAATCTCAACTGTTTCTTATACGCCTAAAGTGAGGGTAGTTATAATAATGATTGACATGTACCTCGAAAACTAGACGTGATGGATACCACATATATTTGGAACTTTTTATCTATGACTCATTACCTATTCACTCCAGCTATCAATTTAACGGGTACCAAAATCGTGTAACGCAGTGTTATTAGAATTCCATAAAGGTTATATATTGGGTTCTTCAAAAAAGGCGTATTAAGGTTTCTTCGGGGGTCATTAAAACGCTTGTGACACCTCTAGTGTTGCAGTCATCAATAGGCTAGTGACTGTTTACCATCAGACGGGCTGTATGTTTGTTTACCACCTTTGTGGTATCAAAACAAAAAAAAAACCAAAGCATGCTTTGTACAAAAATCATTTGCTTCAGTATATCTGTCTCACTCGTGTTTGTTTGTGGGAGATGACAGTGAAACTATAGAGAACAGAAATATAATGTCACAATCTTCAAGAAAGGCAACGTACGGGTGGAGCCTTGGTATTCATATTAAACCACTTTCAATCAAGTGGGCTGTCAGATTGCTATCCATTTAATGCTGAATAAAAAATTATAATGTTCCAATTTCGAATTTATGTTCCAATTTCAAATTGCTCACCAGTGGGGACGGCGGCTGGTTGCGCGGCCGGCTGCTCCTGCCCCCCACCGCCGGCCACCCCCCCTCCGCTCCACACAAACGCTGACGACGCACCCGCCTTCTGGAACAATACCAACAAACACTTAGAGACCTGTTGATGTTATTAACACTAAACGGTTGGGAGGCTTATGAGGCTTATATATATTCTATTTGGACGTATTAAAAGTACTTCAAGGAATTTCCCTCGTTCATGCAAATTTTGAGAAGCCTAGCATTGCTACATTCCGTCATATTGTTACATGTTGCACAATATCATCGTCAATTGTGAAATGATGGTGATCATAGTGTATTGTAATATTTTCACCTATTTCAAATTTAAATAAAATTAATATAATATCATCCTAAACGTAGACTTTATTAATAAAAAAAAGAATCATTATAATGATAACTAACGAATGTTTTGAGCAAATAAAAATAAAGTTGAATTGAGCATTCTCTTTGATGATTTAGAGGATAAAATAAGGAATATGATAAACCAAAAGAGCATTTCTATTAAATTTGTTAAGTTTGTTATCTTTTTTTACCAATGAGTATAATAAATAAATATGTGACCAGACCACCCTGAAAAAGCACAGTAAAAGAATGGTCCATGTATGCGATCAACCAAGGATTGTTTTTTGTTACAATTACCTCATCTGGAGAATCAGAAGTTCTGTCTCCATTATTTTCATCATCTGATGTTTCCGTACCGAATCCATTAGAAAACAGCATATTCCTTGGATAGAGAGAGTAACAATCAGCGATATTCCGCCTTCTTTTACCAAGACTTGCCAGAAAGCTTTTGTACAATTGCGTCGGAAGAAGAAATGGTGATCGATTCTGGAAGCCATCTTTAAAACTCAAATTCTGATTTCGAAACGGATTACCAAAGTTGAAGTCAGGTACAAATTCTTTCTTGATAAAATCTGCTACTGGGTGCAACGCCAATGAATTTTCCGTGTAATCCAAAGCTGCATTCTCTCCATCATCACTGGGCCCATTATTTTCAAGGTCACTACATTCTGAATTAGCATCGCTTGAATTATTATCATTATTATTGATTTTTCTTTCATCTCCTTCAGTGAAATCCTCGAATTCACGCTTCATTTGTAGATTTATTGGGTTCTTCAGATACGAATTGGATAGCGTCACCGACATCTTTGTTGGCACTTTTTTTTACAAATATATTTCTCACTAGTTTTAACACTACAGTTTATATAATCTCGAAATAAAAATATATATTTCTTTATAACGTATGTATTTAGGTATTTTTAGGAACTATCGTTGGGTTAGGAGGTGCCTGGACCAAACTGGTTCATGTTAGTTTAGATTCATTTTTAGTTTTAAAATAATTTGAGGCAATAACTTCACCCGTTTAATTAAATCTTATTTACAGTTTAATTAATGATATTTCTTGTTTGAAATCTATTTTGTTTATTTTATTATTTGTTTATTTTATTATTTGTTTATTTTATTATTTGTTTATTTTATTATTTATTAAAATTAATAACAGAAATTTCATTAATACGTTCATTTAAATCTGAACTAATCTTCCTTTAGTTTTAGACCTTTTAATTAAGCTTTTTATTTGTTTTACATTATAATTTTTCTACATTATTTTTTTTTTATTTTTCACAAACGTATCATGGTAGTAAATCTAGTAAAGAAAATGTTCATATATATATTTTATTTAATTTGATCTCCTTTTGTCCATTTAAAAAAGATGTTAAAATCTACACTATTAGCTGCTCTATGGTTTTCTATAATTTTCTCCACAAAGTGATAGATAAAATGAAATAATATTTTTGGCATTCGCATACGGAACCCTAACATTATACAGTTAGTGACAACAATTATTCTAGATATAGATTTTATTACACCTGGAATTTATGTCTGCCTAGGTCGAATATTTTTAACACGTGACCCACATACGTGAACGTCTAGATCGGTAGTGGAGTATCGATCTCAATTTTACTGGTTCTTATTTTAAACGACTTCATATTTTGTTATACTTCAAGTTTAGCTTTGGGATGATAAATTCTGAAGTCTGTAGGAGATTTTGAAATAGGTATTTTTTATTTATTCCTTTTTTTTATATTGAGATCTTTTGAGTTTTTGCCTTGCAAATAAATTTTATTTGAAATGATATACGTTCCAATTGGTCATGTAGAAATTTGATCAAAAATGTTTCAATAATATAATTTTTAAATAAAAAAAAGTCTGTTTTGTTCTACTACCTATATTGTGATAGAACGAAATCGTAGACTTATATGGATATAATATTTTTTTGCCATATGCCAGCATGTGGTTTTTTTAAGGGCTTTTACCTTCTTCAGGTATATCAGAATTATCGTACCCTGAACTGATTTCTCAAATAAAGTTTTATCTACTTTCTCTGGACACAGGAAGAGAGGAATTGATGGGCATCAATATTTTACAGAGATGTTCAAAAATTTCTGATTTGGGTTTAGCTAATATAGATTGAATAAGACCAATATTAAATTTATTTAAGTTAAAATGGCGCATGAATTCTTCTCTTTCTTTCGTGTTAATATAACACTCTAATAGAATATGTTGCACATCATCGATAGTATCACAAGTTTGACAATGGAGTGAGCAGGACTTTTCAATCATATGTGCAAATTTTTTTGATGGATAACGACCAGATCGAATTAGAACAGCTAATTTAATCTTATTTAATATCTATTGATTTTAATTCCACAAAACCAAGGAATATGTGGAAGTTCAGGGGTTTTTTTTGTGAAACAAAATCTTAAATTGTGTTTAATAGCACATAAACCTAAATAGCGCATTTATAAAATCTTTGGCAACTTTTTATATAGCACATTTTGGCTCTACATTTGCTGTGTAAGATGTCCTAAAATAATATTTTAAACTCTAAATACTGTACATACATATATTTTGTATTCATAGGTTGTTTTCTCTACTAATTGTTATGTCGTTTCGACCTAGAACTTTTGCTTTCCCGTGGGTATTTTAGGAAGCGACTAAGGGAAGTCAATTGTCGAGGTATGGACAGTAGCGTCCATCTTAAAACATCACCAAAGCCTAACTGCGATTATTAAGCCACCTGCCAACATGGCTACTACTTGTAAACCCCCCTTTTATGATGAAGGCCTATGTTTAGCAGTGGAATACTTTCCACTGATGATATGACGATGATTCACTACTACTACTAATATGACAGTGTCTCCCTCTAGTGTTAAAAGTTGCTTAAGTTTGAAATACACGAAAACTTATGACGTAGCTCCTGAATGACAGTTTTATATGCCCTTAGAAATACGAAGCAAGTGATAATAAGTATTAAATGATTCAAATATGAATTTTGCTGTATTCAGTTAAAGTATATTTTGGTCTGCCACTACGTCCTACAGAGTTTGAAAGATCATAGATTACTCAAATACAGAATTTAGTTTCCGTGCGAGGTATAGGATATAAAGGTCATAAATAATACATATAAATAGCCTAGGCTCTGTACAGTGAGTGTAATAAGAACAAAGACTACTCAAATACAATGTCTACGATCCGTATTGATTAAAGTGTATGAAAGCACGACCTTCATGATCCAATATATGGATGACGCACATACAAAATTAACATTTCGTATAGTTAAAGTTAAAAACCATAGATTATTCATACACAGAGTCTAAGAATCTTACAATTAGTGTGTCTATCAAGATTAGTGATTACTCAAATATAGAGTCTAAGTTTCATACAGTTGGAAAACAATCGAAACCAGAGGGAGACTTTGTTAAAAAGTCGATTGCTTGGGTACCTCTGTCCTATTCGTGTTTCAAACGTGAAGCAGTTGTGTTCGCATGGCTGTGTTTCGGTTTGAAGGGAACACCTGAGCCCTCAGGAATGGCAACGCATGGGGGGCAACGCATATCATGGGCGAAACAGTATACTCTATTATGTCCATGGTACTGCTCATGTCTATAGGCGATGGTTACTACTTTCCATCAGGTGGGCCGTCAGCTTGTTTGCCATTCTAAGTAGTATAAAAAAAGGTTTAAAAATTTGTATATGAAACTGTATCTTGCGTCTTGGCTGCACGAATTAGAGATTACATAGAGTTAATTATATTATAATTCATTTCATGAATATGGTTCATGTACATAATTATATAAAAGTATTATAGGACTTTAAAATGGGTATCAAAGGTATAGATATAGGTTTTTTTAAACCAATTTTTGTTTATCAAAAATTATATTGTACGCATACAATATTTGATAAACACAGAAAATTACATATACTTGCTTTAAGATTCTTTTCTTATTAGTATGGTGGAACATCTTACTATTGTATTATTAGAAAGGATAGTTTAATACTGTTAGGAATTGGATTGTAATTTAAAATAACAAATGCCTATATTAAATTACAGGGTACGGAAGGGTGATAGATATATATGTATGTATATTATATGTATGGTACGAAAGGATTACACCATAGTTCTCAGGAATAGCAACGTATAATGGATACCAAGAGCATTACTGTATATTCTGTGATGTCCACGGTTTTTATTCACATGCTAAACTTTAATATAGTTATATAAATACTCTAAATAGAAACGAATAGGTCTAAATTTATAAGTTGTCCATTTATATGTATAAGAATTCCGTCGTCTGTAGAAATTAAATGTTTGAATGACTGGTTTATTTTCTCTTCACAAAAGGTAGTAAAAAGTAACAAAAAAATGTAATTGTAATTTAAAATGGCTAATTATTATATTAAATTAAAGAAGGAAGGGTGACAAATGTGTATGTGTGGATATGGTATGGAAACATAACACCACAGTTCTCAGGAATGACAACACATAATCCTTAATACACTTAGTCCTACGTATTTCCAGTTTTATGTGTTATATATATGTATGTGTATGTATATATATGTATATATTTGGATGTATGTGTTTATTTATGTATGTGTATATGACTATGCTGTCACAGATACTATTTTTTACAGATCTATTTTTTTTTAACGCGCCACCTACCTATGCTTTAATTCCTTCTACCCAAAGGTTGTCTGGAAGAGATTGCTTAGCAATAAGACCGCCTTTTG